GTAATGTACAAAAGAGAAATGTCCAGTTAACTTTGTCAAATGCTTTCTCTGCATCTAGTAATAAAACTATGGTTTGGTTTGTTTTTGTTGTGCAAAATTAATTAAAATCTACAGATGTTGTCTGAAGCATTCCTGTTTTTAATGAAACCTGTTTGGTCTGGGTGGATTAGTATTGGGGTGACTGTCTCTATTCTAGTAGCTAGGGCTTTGGTAATGATTTTTAAGTCTGAATTAATAAGTGATAAGGGACGGTAACTAGAAGGGTGGATTGGGTTTTTGTTTGGTTTTAATAAGAGTGTCATGATGGCTGTGTTCATGTGTGTTGGTATTGTGGAGGTGTCTTTAATTTCTGTGGTGACTCTGAGAAACAGTGGTGATAGCATTTGTCAAAAATGTTTATAAAATTCAGCTGGTAGTCCATCAGGTCTGGGTGCTTTGTTATTTGGCATTGAAATCTGTGCTTTATGGAGTTCGTCGATAGTGAGAGGAGCATCTAATCTGTCAGCTTGTTCTCTGGGTAATGTTGGCGGTTTTAAACTATCTAAGAAAGTGTCTATTTCTGATGAATTGGGGTTGTAATTAGGGGAGTAAAGTTAACTGTAAAAGGTTTGGAATACGTTATTAATATCTTGTGGATTATGAACCATTTCACCTCTAGGATTGAGTATGGATGGGATTGATGCTTTTTCCTTTTTGCGTTGTAATTGATTAGCCAGATAATTACCTGTTTTGTTGCTATACTGAAAGTGTTCATATTTGAGTTGTTGAATAAGAAACCATGCTTTTTTATATATAATATTTTCAAGTTCCATTTTTAGTTCGCTTAATTCATTTTGTGTTTGTTCGCTAGGGTTTTGAGAATGTAAAGTTGTTTTATCTTTTGTTCTAAGGTGCTTTCCAGTTCTAGTTGTTTTTTTTCTTTTTGTACAATGAGTATGATATTATTTTCCCTCTAATTACTGCTTTGCCTGTTTCCCATAATAATGAGGGTGAGATTTCTGGAGAGTCGTTCATCTCCAGAAAGAATGCCCACTCTTTTTCAATAAATGTAATAAAATCTAAGTCCTGGAGTAATGATGTATTGAAGCACCATCTTCTAGTAGGGTTTAGCTCTAACTTTTCAATGTAGTTGTGGGCAAATTCAAGGCTTGACCGGAGTTATTTTATTTCCTCGTGAAGTGTAACCAGTAAATCGAGTTTCTTATTGATGGATGCAAGAACACTGACCTCAATGTCTGTCGTCTGTAAATCGCTTGTATCTGTAGAGAAGGTCTTTTTGGCTTTTCCCGTTTAGGGGTCGCCACAGCGAATCGTCACACTGACGACTCGCATGTTATATTGCTGGAGATGCTTGAACGGTCAATTTCCGGGTTAATAACAGTGTTAAAATCACCAGCAATAATATTTGTTGAGTTGCATAAAGATGAGAAAAAAATTATGAAAAAAGGATGAATCATCATTATTGGGGCCGTATATGTTCGCAAGTGTATTTGTTGTCTGGTTAATGGATACCTTAACTATAAATCTACCTTCTGGATCAGTGATAGATGTATTATGAATTAATGGGATATTTTTATTAATTAAAATTGAGATGCCTCTTTGCCTACTGTTATATGTTGATAAAAATATTTGGTTAAATTGTTTGAATTTAAGGTTTTGTGATTCTGGATTTGTTAGGTGAGTTTCTTGTAAAAAGCATATATCAGCATTTAATTTTATCAGATGGTTAATGATTTTAACGCTCTTAACCTGGGTCCTGAGTCCACGCACATTTCATGACACTATTTTATGTGACTGAATGATTGTTTGTTATAGATACCTGTTCGTAAGATGAAAGGAGGGAAGACGTGAGAAGGAGGGAAATAAAATAAATAAACACAAAAAACAAACAAACAAATAATTTAATTGAATTAATTTGTTTAATTCAACAACAGCAGCTTCCAAAGAGGTATTTCTGTTATTTAGCTACATGTACTACATGTAAATAACCTAGTAGCTTACATTTTTCAGTAAGTTGCTGGTAGTTCAACAGCATTCGTAGTTGTGTAGTGGCTGAAGTAATTTAATTACATTTTTGTTAGGTCCTGCAACTACAGTTATGTTTGGACCATAAAAGGAAGGGAATAATTTTTATTTCTATTTTACCATTGCTTGTTTAACCCTAACTGCCTTTTGGATAAGAATGTCGAGAGACTCCTCATGTCGTATAATCAAGTGATTTTGCTGAGAAGTAGTAGGAAAAGGCAGGCCCATTTTTTGTTTCAGGGAAATAAAATCAACTCTATGGCATTTTTTTCTGGAATGTGAGTTTTCTTTTATGTTACAGTTTTGTATCACATGGATATGGTCAGGTTTTTTTTTTTTTTTTTTTTTTTTTTTTTTTTTTTTTTCAAACAATTAAATTTACTTGTTTTTAATACGTGTACTACTTAGTTTAAGTAACTTTAGTTCATCAAACTGCATTTCTCTCTAGAGCAGCTTTGCTGTAGTTTAACTACTTCCAAAGTGAAGTAACTGATCATTTGCAAAGTTACATTATCAAGGTAGCTTCCCCAACACTGTCTGCTGGTACCTGTCCAAACATTTTAAACAGTTTCCTGAGGACAGGTTGTAATATGTTATCCTCTGAAACTGCAGTCTTTCTGGAAAAATGGCACTGTTCTATCAGTTTAGCTTCTGTTGCTTTTAACACCACAAATTAAATCCCATTACCTCTACTGTACTGAGGTGACAGAACATTTAATTTCAAACCCACTGATAAATCTTTACCTACAGTGTAAAGTACCTGCATAACTTGATGTGAAGAGGGGTAAATGTTAAACAAACATTTGAATTATGGGTAAACTGGTCCTTAACGACCTGTTACTAGGGTTTAAAAGATCTGGTTTCTGCAAAAACAAATATACATAGAACCTAGATAGACTTGCTGTGAAAGGACAATTTGAGTACCAAAAATTTTAACAGTGTCATGTTAGTGTGTTTGGTGCTGAAAATTACCAGGAAAATGTCAACATCTAGTGGCCAGTTTGAAAATGCCACTGGAAGCAATAATGAAATCAATGTTCAGTATAAGCAGACAAATATTAAAACCAAATCAATGTGCCAGTTGTGAAACCTGACACACTTCAAGTCAAACTTTTCTTTAACAGCCATCAACCTCTTGGTGGGTCAAAGATCAATAACACAACAATAGTTTAACAGAAACTATTTATTCAACCATTTCAGTTCAGAGTTAAATATTAATCTACTGTTTGCACAAGACATTTTATAAAACAACAGAGTGAATGACCTTGTAACAGAACTATTCTTCACAGTAAAAGGGACTTTACAGATGTCTTAATATTTGGAACCACCTGATCAGCATCACACTTCAGTTTATCAGGGTGAGTCATTTTTAAATTAAGTTTCCTACAGTTTTTGTATCAGAATAGATGATGCTCCACCACCTCCATTGCAGATGCTTGCCAGCCCATACTGACCTGACTTCAGGTTGTGCACCATGTGACCCACAATTCTCGCCCCAGACATTCTGAGTGAGAGAGAGAGAAAGAGAGATAGATACAGTGTAAATAATAGTTCATAACATTGGTGCATATGTTGCATTTCCCTCCAGCTGATGAGACAGTTGTGGGTATGCTCAAAGCCAAGTGATGTGCATAAAAGAAAACATTGACAGCCCCTTCGCTCCCCATAGTTGTGCTTGGATCTAATAGAAGCTATACTAAGTGCTCCCTTTACTCTTTGTGATGCTTTTCAGGTCTGCCTAGTGGCTGATATTTCAGTACTCAAAGAGACAAAAGAAAACCCATTCACTATGTAGAACAGCTATGTATAGTGTAATAAGGGTCAGTTCATCAATAGCAGACAGGGCTGTTGATGCTAAAGTAGCAAATGGACTGTCAGAAATAACCTCCACTTTGACCTTCAAGGTCAATTGAAGGCACTGCTGAGAGGCAAACAGGAAAGTTAAGTCAAAGTAGAGATGCACTGATTCATCGGTGGATGTCAGAAATGGCCGGTTTTCAGTGTGACTGGCGACCAGCCGATCAATCTGAGATTTCCAAGTCTGCGCCGATTAGAGGCACACACGCAGTGGCACAAACCAAAACCATAGCATTTGCAGCATGTAGTGTGCACCTTGAGCGAGGCTCGCGCTCCAGTTTGTACCAGGCGCAGGTTCACTCACACGTTAGAAATGGAAACACACAGGAGCCAAGAGAAATGCTTTGGAGAAGGGAAACTACATCCAAATAGTAAGAAGGAAATGTAAAACTTGAATACAGCGTTTTATTTTTATTACAATTACAGTTTTCATTAAAGAAAAGTTATAAAATGTCTATGTATGCTGTCAATTCCAGTTGCTAGAAAAGAAAAAATATGAATCTGCCCAGTGCAATCGACCTGCAAAGTGGTGCATCTCTTAGTTAAAGATTTCCTGTTGTGGTCAGCCAAGAGGGGAAAAAGAAAGATAAGGAAAAGAAAGAAATATGAAAAAAAGAAAGAAAAAAAAAACTTCCCTGAAAGGTTAAAACAAGAGACAGTTACAAAAATAGTTAGCCATCTGTAAATAGACTGTATTTACATAGCGCTTTTCTCACAGTGTGTTGCACTGGCCAAAGCGCTTTACAGGAGATCATACACCATTCACACACCAATGACGACAGACTGTAAGTGATTTGGTGCCCATAATGTTATGGGCTAAACTTTGAACGTGCTCCTAAAACGTAAATACGTTTCCTGGAAAAGTTTTTGGAACATTTGCCTGAACTGCTTTACAATTACAGACGACTCTTTTCTGTCTGTACTGGATCAGATTCATAAATGGCAAAGTCTTAAATCTGCATCTCCATATCACAGAGGAAAGAAAGAAAAGGTAAAAGAAAATTAGGAGACAATGTAAGGAAGCAGGCCACACCTTGTTCTTCATTTTCAACTCAGTTCTTCCTGAGAAAAGCTAAGTGATAGTGTTTTCGTTTGTCTGAGTCCAGGTCGCACCACTGACTCAAAATTAATGACTAATTGGTTCTTTAACATGCCCCTCTCAGCTGCTTACCCAATTGGATGTCCCAGTGACACTGCTCCCCCGTTGACGTTGACTTTCTCTGGGTCAATGTCCAGCATCTTGATGTTGGCCAGGACGACCACACTGAAGGCCTCATTGATCTCCCACATGGCGATATCATCCTTCTTCAGCCCTGCTGCATCCAGGACCTGATGCACACAGGAATGTCAAAGGTCATAGTGTTTGTCATATGCACAGTTAGGAACCGTGTTTCCCTGTACAATGAAATTCTTACTTTGCCGTCCACATAAATGCCACACAATAAAAGTGAAATATCAAGTAGATAATAACACAAATCTAAATAGGCAGTAACACAAATCTAAGGCACTTGAAGGGAGCAAATAAAAATACAACAACACAATATAATGCAGAGAGAATATGTGCTACGTGGGAGCTGTGGAGTGTAAATACTCAGCAGTGAGTGTGCAATTATACATGTGCAAAATGAGTATGTAAACAGTACAGATGGCATTACATGAGGTAGATCCTGAGTCAGCTGTTTAGGAGTCTGATGGCAGAGGGAAAGAAAGAGTTTTTCAGTCTAGAGGTCCTGTCTTTCATACTTCTGAATCTCCGACCGGAAGGTAGGGGTATGAACAGACCGTGATGGGGGTGGGTGGGGTCCTTGAGGATGGAGGCAGCTTTACTACACACCCTGCGGTGGTAAATGCTCTGCAGAGAGGGCAGTGGAGTCCTGGTGATCTTCTTAACAGTCTTTACCACTCTCTGCAGGTGCTTGCGGTCCATAGCAGTAGTGCTGCCATCACAGACAGTGATGCAGC